TAAGTGCTGAACCAGTAAGAGGTCTGAACCATTAAGAGCTAGTATATTGTTTAACTATTCAGAGGCAAATGTCTGATCAATTCAGATAAGAGCTCTTAACCATTCAGACTCTGTATAATACTTAACCATTCAGAGGCAAATCTCTTAACCATTCAGACATCTGAACCATTAAGAGGCTGAAACAAACAGTCTGAACCATTAAGTGCTGAATCATTCAGACATCTGAACCATTAAGAGGCTGAAACAAACAGCCCCTAATTAAAATTGCAAATGGGAATGAAGCTATACAGAATTTACATGATTTTCCCAAAATGCCCATATCAGCATCAATCTTCTGATCTCCCATTAGACTAAACACTAACACTATGTTTGGTTCAAGGAATTCAAAATTCCTTGTACCAAACACAGTCTAAACATTGCAATCTCCAACTCAATTATTAGATTGTCTAGAGTTTTTGTTTGACAGTAAGTAGTAAAGTATGTAGGCTCTCTCTCCATTCCAATCCAATGAGAAATTCCAGTTGCACTATTTTAACATGCATGAGGACTCTAGCAATCCATTTCTACTTCCCCTCTACCTCTTTAATTTTTTTCCCTTCTTTATGCAAAAAGAAAAAAAAACACCACAATAAAAGGGAAATGGGAATGGTCTTGTTTGAAAACATTCCCACACCGTAGAATCAGCCGTGACGGAACCTCAATAAAAGGACTAGAGGTGAGGGAATGATCATCATTTGATTTGATGGTACTAATGGTGAGAAAGAAATGATCCGTGCAATTTTAATATATTTTTCTTATTTTCTCTCTCATCGTTGATTTTAAAAAATCGAACTTGATAGATAATTAATTAAGAACAATAGGTGAGAAAGAAATGGTTAAGATTTTTAGTATATTCTACGATTTGCTGAGCTCGTACAATTTTTTTTTTTGCATTCTATATTTTAATTGAACTCGTGCGATACTATCATGCTCGAAGTGTGGCTTCAAATGACTAGTGGCCTTGCATGTTTTTTTTTGTGATGGAGGCTCGAACAACGACATCAATGTTTTTGATCAATTGCCCGTTTTTAACACATAATTAATAAATTTGAGTGGAATATCTGGGATACTACGGTTGCATTTTTTGGTGAATTCATACTATTTATATGAAAATTCAATGTATTTTTTCGTTACATGCGATTAAAGTTCAAAAAATTTAACCAGGAAAGACAAACTGAAAAATTAATTTTATGATGGAAAGAGAATTTAAATTAGTACTTATAAATATTTTCTAAGATTCATAATTCAAACTTTTATTAAAAAAAATTAAATTAATTTATATCTCGCACGAGTTGAAACTTGAAAAAAATAAGGTATGCCAAAAAAACAAGCAGATATTAGTAGAATTTATTAATAACACACTTATCATCATTTCTTTCTCATCAGTCATTATTAACAATCTATCTTGTTAAATTTTTAATAATTATTGATGAGAAAGCAATGATGAGAAGTGTTTAATAAAATCAAACATTGCATATTAACCATTGCTCCCATTACGAGTCCTTTCATTGGGATTTCCATACGGGTGATTCTCGGGTGTGGGAATGTTTTCCACATTTAGAAAGGGTATAGAGCCATAGGGGGGAAGAGGATGGAGAAGGTACGAGTAATAATTACTCCCTCCGTTCAAGTTGAAATTTCTCGTTTTGGCTTGGTGCGGGTTTTAATGTAATGTAAAAAAAGAATTGACTTTCCAAATTTCAATTTTAAATCTAAAAAATCGGAGAAATTAAAAATTACTCTTCAATCTCAAGCCTCTCCTCTTCATTACAAATCTCCCTTCTTCTTGTTCAAATTTATTTGCCAAATAAGGAAACAGGAAAAATCAAATGAGACAGCCGAAAAAGGAAAGCGAGAAGAAAAATATGGAAGGGAGGAAGTATAATCAATAAAACAATAGTCCATCCACATTTGGAGTTTCCTTCTTCAAGGTTTTTTTAATTTTTTGAAGAGTAAATTCCCTAAATGATACTCGGTAACTATGTATTTTCTTAAATCAGTCCTTAGGATGAACTAATTATCGAGATGACACTCGTTACTTAGGATAAATGATCATTTTAGTCCTCTGACTTATGGTCGTTATAACGTCGAAACGATGTTGAAACTCACACTAATTTTTTAGAATGATCCTTTCTAATTGTGCATTTTCTCAAATTAGTCCGTTTTCGAAAATTAAAAGTCATTGAGTATGAAAAATAATAATTTTAAAAAATAATTTAAAATATTTTACATTGACAATATAATAAATACATTTATAATTATAATTTAATAAAGTTGAACACAAATGTTGTAGATTGTTTAAAATTAATTAAAAGAATATATGTAAATTAAATATTTAAGATACAATTCCATCCGTTCTGAAATAAGAGCTTGTTTCGATTTACGATGTTCAACCGAAGTTATTTTGGGATGAAAGGAGTATTAAATATTTTATTTACATGATATTCTTCTAAACAATTGTAAATAACTTGAAACGTTACTTTGAAATATATAAAGTTATGTTAATAGTTTTTTATTATATTCTCATCCAAAAAAATTTAAAGTTTTTCTATATTTCATGAGTTTTAAATTCAAAAATGGAGCAATTTGAGAAAATACACAATTAGAAAGGACCATTTTGGGAAATTAGTATAAGTTTTAATGTCGTTCTGACGGCCATTAATATGGAGACTAAACTGATCAATTTTCTTCAATTTACGAGTACCATTTCGGTAATTAGTTAATCTTGGGAACTAATTTAGAAAAACACATAGTTATTAAGTATCATTTTGAGAACTTACTCATTTCATAATGATTTTTAGGAGGTTCCATCTTTTCTTCTTGCTTTCCACTTTGACTACGAACCTATCCTTTTGAGTTAGAATGTCAGCATTGGATGTTGGAAGAACTTAAAAAGAGTTGGAAGATATATATGTGTTTTTTTATTTGATCTTTAAAAATAAAATTTAACACATAATTAATAATTTTGAGTGGAACAACCTGTATTTGAGTGGAATTGTTTTTTTGGTGAATTCATACTATTTAGTTGAATCTTCAAAAAAAAATAGAAACCAATAAAAGGCCGTTATAAAACATAGAGGGGCGTACGAAAAATCAAATCCGAAACCAATAATAAAAGGCCAACGTTCTAAACCAAGCCTAGGTCTATCAGTTTACAAACACAATCCATAAAGCGGATGCCATTAGCAAATAAAGAAGTCTTACGTGAAAAACAAATTGCGCTCGCCGAATAGATATCTCATTCGAAGAGTTCCTTGTTGAGCCAGTCCCTGCCAAGAAATAGTTGGGTCGCAAACATCGGTTAGCTTTTTTAGTCAGGTTAAACCAGGCAAACAAATAGGCGAAAAAGGTAACACTATTTTACTTGCTAATGTCATCAAGGTGGTCGTCGAAATCTTGTATTTCCTTCCATTTCTCCGAGGAAATATAATCTAAAAGGACTTCATTTGCCACGGGCTCCTTGAGAGTTAATTGACAGTTTCCATTTGATCCTGCAAGTTTCCAGCTCCTGGAGGCATCCTTGGTATAAAGCTGCCAACAAGACAAATAAGACGCAAAGAAGATGTTAAGGATGTTTTTGTTGGTGCATATGAGGAAAAAGGACGTAGAAGCTTTGAATTTCATTGCCGTTGTTTGTAGTTTCCTTGTTTAGGTTGAGTCTCCGTAATTATAGTTATTCCCAAGAAAAATGCTAGTCATTGTCGGTGAGAAATGAAATGAGACTCTGGCGGTGTCACCCGTGGTTTGATTGTATGGAGCATTACCATATTCCTAACAGTTTCCTTATTTATTTTTGGTTTTATAACTTTATTAGCGCCATGTTTCCTTTTCATGTGTTTAGATACCAACTATCAAAGGGGGGTAATGTTTTTATACATAATACATGTTGATTTTTCTTAAGCTTTAGAATTTCACAGGGACGAGTCTTCCTAGTTTCAGTAATAGGCAGCAACTAAACTACACTGACCTGGTCCTAAGCTAAGCCCATAACAATGATAGGGTTCGTAGTCAACATAACTACCCATTAACCTATCCTGAAAAATGGGGAAGGGGAGGATTATTTTGTGTATGGGAATGGTTTTAGGCTATGTAGTTGTAGCACTAGTATGGGGATGGGGACTTGAATGGGTATGAGTATGGGAAACAGCAATTTGCACAAAAAATGAAGAGCGCAAAGAAATGGTGCCTAAAACATCACTCCTCAGTCCCGCTGGGAATTGCCAACCTTTAGGATCCATTCGGGAATTTGAAAAATGACTCTTGGAAAATGAGTTAATTTACTGAAATCATTTTTTCTTTTCTGTTGCTTGGCTGGAAGTCTCGAAACGGTCGATTCCTAATTAATTCATTTTCGGGAAAAAAGAATATCCAAAAAATGAATCATTTTTTAAATAATTATTGAAATTTGTAAATATTGATTTGACGATGCAAAATCAATAACATTGATATGCCAAATCCAGCAAATCAAACAAGCCATTTGAGATAAAGAACAAGCCAGATCGAACTAAGGCGCTGGTAGCATTTCCCTACCCACTGTTGCTGTGCTCTTGTGAAGACGAACAATAACTTCAGTAAGAATTAGCCGGAAGTTAAATTCCTGATTTATGCCTGCATTTTATAATTTGACCAAGGATTGATTCACCACTGATTTAGCAAGAACCCATCATCTGCCACACACCACTAGGTGTACTTATTATATGACAAAAGAAGCCACACTCACATATCCACACTGATCAAAATCAAGCATGTGGCAACTGCCAACCACGGAGATGCAACCTTGTCCTAGTCCTACACAGCAGATTGAACTGGGCAACCAACAATCATCAGTGATGTGTTCCCTTCATACCAGAGATTTGAGTGCAAGTTCCTCGGGGACCCAAGACCATGCTGGTTTGGAGAATGTGTTTGAGCGTTGGCCTGTTCTATAGACCACACCCATATCACCGGTAAAGACCCC